ATATAGGTACAGTCGGATTGATCATCTTGCCTATGGACCACAACAAATTTAATGATAGACTGGAGTAATGATGCTGAAAATTCAGCATTGCCATCACAGGAAAAAATTACATTTTAAAATATATTTAAATTAGGGCTGCACGATTATGACAAAAATCATAATTGATTATTCCCTTGAAATTGTAATTGCGATTATCACAATTTACATTGAATGATGTTTATACCATTGCTTGATGCAACTGCATGCTGTATTTTTATATGAAAATAAACAAGCTGAAAACACTAACTGAAAAACCTTTAGTGCTTTTCTATAGTATTAAGCCTCAAATGTCAAATATACATCGGATTGGTTTCTTCTTTAAATTATAAAAAAAGTAAAAAAAGATGAATGGTATTATAACGTTATACTAAAACTAAAACAATGGAAAAACCCTTAAGATAACATGTAGAAAGAAAAAAACATATCTTAAGCGTGCAGAATAACATAAGTGGACTTTGAACGATTAATTGCTGTTTTGAACGATTACGTAATTGTGGCATCCATAATTGTAATCGCGATTAGAAATTAGATTAATTGTGCAGCCCTACTTTAAATAGAAAACAGATATTTAAAATGTTTTAATTGTAATAATATTACTATTTTACTGTATTTTTATCAAATAAATGCAGCCTTGGTGAGCATAAGAGACTTCTATTGAAAATATGTTTAACAATTTTAATGCAAACCCAAACATTTGAACAGTAGTGTAGAAAAATATACTATATAAATATATAACTATAAGATTTCTTAAGATTAATCATCTAATCAGCAACTTCAAATTAATTATCCAAAACACATTTCTTAATTATCCAAAGTTATATTTTAACTATCACCTGGGAATGCTGTCAGCTAAAGAAAATGTTACAATGAACTGAATAATTAAAAAAAAAAACATTTCATGAGAGAGAGTTATGGTACCTGTACAGGGCCCGACCGGCTTCAACAGCCATCCAGTCAATGGCGAAATCCATCTGCCGTACAAACGGGGACATGCGGATAGCCACAGTGTGAGCTGCACTGAGAACTACACTCGGCTGCTCACGCATGATCCTACAGGGGCAACACAAACAGACAATATTACTCTGCTATCTACTGATGGGGATTAATTCTTTGTTTTTTTGTGAGATTTGCAATGGCTAGAATGGCATTCAAAAGACTGAATATTTGAGTGAAATCAGCTGCAGGACTGTATAGACACACTCACTCATAGAAGTCAGATTTGGAGATCTTGAGGTAGGTACAGTCACGCTCAGCTTTAATGGTGAAGATGAGCGGCTCTCCTGTGAGTACAGCCAGCTGACCTACCATCTCACCCGACTGGGTCACAAACAAACACACTGCTTCCTGCTTGTCAATCATCTTCTGATAGACATGAAGACAGCCAGACAGGACAAAATGCAGACTCACATCCTACGGGAAAGAAGAGGAAGAAACAGTATTACAAATATTACAATAATCGTTTCTTCAAAATAAGAGATCTAAGGTTTGCCAACTAAACTGGGCAGAAGAAATGAGAATGAGCACCTGGTCTCCCTGTCTGGCTAACACAGATCCAGCTTTAGCATTATGAAACGTCACTCTCCCATTCAGCAGAGCAGGGTCCTGATGATGAAAGAGGGCATATGAGGAAAGGGCATCTCTCCAGTCCAGTAAAAGAGAGACAGGTGTGACCGTCAGAAATCAGAGGAGAACTAAAGTACATGTGAAACTGCTTCATTTTACTGGACAATGAACTTTGACAACGAATTGTACCACACAAATACAAAAACATACCTCAATCTTCATGAGTTTGAGAATCTCTTTCTGGGCCTCCTCGAACACTGTAGCATTAGGTCGTCCTTGAAATGGGCTAAAAATGTTCTCCATTCCTGACTCCTCCTCAGGATACAAATACACACTTGAAGGAACCTCATCCACCGTCACCTTCCTCTCCCGCTGCTCCTGTGTCAAAAAACAAGCATGAATTCTTTAGACTTCAAGGGTGAGTGATTCAAAACTTTGTGTGTGGGTCATATTTCAGTGTAAAACTAAAAGGTATTTTTTTGTAATTCCTATTGTTAATGATTATTCTCATTACACTCATTACTGTAATACAAAATATGTTAATATGTAAAACGTGAAATGAGTGTAAAAAAAAAACCTCACTCGTGTGAAAGCAGGTGGAGCGGGCGCTCCATCCTCAGCAGATACAGAGATACGGCCTCTCTCATAAGCCATGTCGAAATCTGAACGCAGACTCTTCTGAATTCCTATAAGGTCAGCAAAAACATCACAGCATGACACCAACATAAGCATGATATGTCATACATTTCTATACACATTTCTGTATTGTATAGATTATGTATATATATATATATATATATATATATATACACACACACATACATACATACACATACACACACAAACATTGTAACTATAAATTATATCATATTACATATATTATATTGTATACATTCTTAAATGTATATTACCATTCAAAAGTTTGGGGTCGGTAAGATTTTTGTGTGTTTTTATGCTTAGCAAGGCTGCATTTATTTTATTTAAAAACAGTAACAATAATTGTGAAATATTACAATTGAAACAGTTATCTATTCTAATATATTTAATTGTTTTTCTTCAGCATCATTACTCCAGTCTTCAGTGGCACATGATCCTTCAGAAATCATTCTAATATGCTGACTTGCTGCTCAAGAAACATTTATTATTACGTTGAAAACAGTTTTGTACCTTTTTGTGGGAACAGTGATATACAGTATATTTTTCAGGATTCTTTGACGAATAGATAGTTGAATTTAATGCATCCTTGCGGAATAAAAGAATACACTTCTGTTAAAAAAAAACTAAAAATCTTACTGACCCCAAACATTTGAATGGCAGTGTATATCCAGTCAAGACACATGGACCTACCTGCGATGTCTACAGGCATGGATATAGTCCTACTGAGGGTCGGTGTTGTGCCACCATCCTTCCCATGATCCCCACCTGCAGACAGGGTACATCATCAAAGATCAACTCTCATTATTAAATCTAAACGCTTAACATCAACAACTAGATATGATAAGTGGCATATACTAAATAAGCAGATATTATTATGATATTAAGCCTCACCAGTAGCATTTTGGACGGCGGCCTCACGATGTTTATCAGGAACGGTGAGACTGGCAAAGCGTCTGCTGTGTCGTATGGGACTGGAGCGTGTTGGATGAGGAGAGGCAGGAGAGGGACGAGCCTGTATGTCCTAAGTGAAGATTGACAGAAAGGAAATAGTAAATGTTTTGGATAGTATCAAATATTTGAATCTTTAAAAAATTACAATAGTTTTTGTGTGCTAGCAACCAATCATAAGAAAGAAAGAGTGTGTGCATCGAGTGTAGATCTGTGTTCACTCACATGGCTGAAGAGTTCATTGGTAAGTCCCAGGTAGTTGTGCAGGGCCAGAACAGTCACTCTCTGAAGACGGACCATGATGATCTGCAGAGGACACAACAGGAAAAATATTCTCAATTATGTGCAGTGGCCTTACAGACAACAATGGACTTTCTTGGGCAATTTTAAAATTCCAGACCTGAACCACCCGCACAAGGCTCTCTGGGTATTTCTCAAAGATGGACAGAAAGGCATCGACAGGCAGTCTGAGGACAGTGGACACTTCTGCTGCTCTCGCTGAGACCGTCTTATATGGTCTCTGGTGACCCTGAAATACGCATGCATCAAACACTCAAGCCTGTGAATTATGCATAATTTACAGAATATGTAATTTCCTGTGAGCATTTTCCAATGCCAAGTGCTGCAACAAAAATTGCTACTTGACTTTCTTATGGGGCACTTTCAAAGAAAAGGTAGAGGGAAAGATAAAAAAGTGGAAGAAACAGAAAAAAGAACAAAGTACAGGAAAGGGAATGGGAACAGGGAAAAGATAAAGAAAATGAGAGGCAAACAAAAGTTGTGTAAAATTTTATAAAGTAATTGGGTTTCCTGTGCTGTTAAACAGCATGAGCACACAGAGAATGGAATTGTGGGTGTGACTCACTGTGATGACATCAAGGATGCTCAGTAGACTATGAACACTGTCTCCAGGGTAAACCTCTTTGACCACTCCATCCTTTCCATCCTTATGACAGAGAGAGAGAGAGAGAGAGAGAGAGAGAGAGAGAGAGGCGAGTCCAGGGTTATTATCGTTAACTAAATCTAAAAGCATAAAAAAAGTTGTTGCTTCAAATAAAATAAACACTAATTGAAATAAAATGAAATAATTAAATTAAATAAAATTGGCAGTTGCCAAGGAATCATTTCTCGTTTTTGTTTATAATTAAAAATTTAACTAAAATTATAATTAAAACAGAAAATATAGAAACAAATATTAACAAAATATTAATGAAATCTGTAGTAGTATCTCAATGATACTAAAATAACATTGGGTGATAGGGCTGGGACAATAAATCGATGCATCGCATTTCGTGGATCGATTCTGAGATTTTCGGAATGCATCGTGATTCTCTCTCGAATCGATTCTGAGCTTAGTTTTTAACAGCAGATGGTGCTCCAGGCTAGTCTTAAAGGTGACATATCATGAAAATCTGACTTTTCCAGGTTTTAAGTGCTATAATCAGGTCCCCGGTGCATCTACCAACCAAGGAAACGTGAAAACTTTGTTTTGGGAAGCCTTTTTCTGAAAGCGTCTGAGAAATCGTGTCTGATTTCGCTCCCTTGGTGACGTTGCAAAGGGATCTCATTATAATATTACCGCCCCTTAATCTGTAAGCTTACAACCATGGCGCCGTTGTTGTGTTTTCACAAGCGACAATGGTGTATTAGTTCTAATGCGAAAGTTTGAGCAAAACATGCTAACTGTTCTGTCTTTGACTGCACTGACGAGCACAGAACACTATTTAGTGTCCCAGCCTCAGAAGAGACAAGACAGCAGTGGATTTATTGATTGTGTAAAATGTCTACTACTGACCATGCTGGTCTGCAGCTGATCCTCCACTAAACTCTTGATGTTTCCAAATCGGTCCAGCTACAAAACACACAGGATGTTATTACAGGCAGCTTTTTTTGAGAACACAACACTGGGGTCAAAATTGAGAACATGAGAAAAAAAGACTAGCTATCTGGCTCTTGAAATAAGAGATAAGGGCAGTAAGAGAAATATCCAAAAGATAAACACATTTGTTACTGGAGCATAACTATTTTGTTCTGTTCCATAATTATGTAAACTTTTCCACTCTCCGCTGTGCCATCATTCCTTCAAGCATTCCCACTCTGTCACTCACCTACTCACTCATTCCTTCCTTCTTTCTTTCTCAGCTCATTTATTTTCAACAAAGCAAGGCCCACAGTGTATCTAAAGTGAACAGCAGAACTGTTTCTACAGTAGCCCATTGCATTAAGTGAAATAATAATGAATCTTACACAGACATGATAAATGCACTGCAAAAATAATTTTTTCTAATGATTTTTGTCTTGTTTTCCTGTAAAATATCTAGGTTTGGAACAACTAGAGGCTGAGTAAAAGATGACAGAATTAAAATTTTTGGGTGAACTTTCCTTTAAGCCAATTTATTTTGACTTAAGGATATTTTTTTAACTTAATTTAAAGGGTTAGTTCACCCAAAAATGAAAATTAGGCTGCGTTTTACTCACCCCCGAGGCATCCTAGGTGTATATGACTTTCTTCTTTCAGACGAATCCAGTTGGAGTTAGGGTTGTGACGGTGAGGAAATTTTCCCACCGGTTAATCGACGTGTGACAACACCAGTAATACCGGTATCTCCGCGAGGGCGGGGCGTTCCCTCTTTTCCTCGCTTTCCTTCACTTTTAAATAGCTTGTAAAAGTGGTGTGCCCATTTTACTTTCACTTTAAAATAGTGGCAATTCGAAGTAAAGCAATTGTTCGTTTTTAGTTTGTTTGAATTTTCCCTCTTTTCCTTCGCTTTTAAATTGCTTGAAAGCGCCGTGCTCATTTTACTTTCACTTTTGAATTAGCGGCAGTTCGGCGTCAATTGCTTGAATGCAACAACAAAATACAACGTCAAACTCACTTTAGCGTATATATAAAACATAGAACATTTATTAACAAAACAAATAAAAATACACCATGCTATAGGGCAAGCTATGCCTAATATAAAATATCAAATAACTTACATCAAGTTGAATAGGTATACAAAACTGGAAATAAGTAAACATGTATAATATATAACCAAATAAATAAACAACATAGAACGTTTATTAGCAAAACGAATGTCAAATAAAATAAATAAATTAGGGATGCACGATATATCGGCCACCATATCGGTATCGGCCCATATCGGCTCATTTTTTCTGTTATCGTATCGGCCTGATAAGAAAATTTGGCCGATATCTTAAAGCCGATAAATAATGCATTATTTCCTTCAGAGACACTTCAGATGCGCGCTGTTCGCGTATATATAAAACATAGAACATTTATTAACAAAACAAATAAAAATACACCATGCTATAGGGCAAGCTATGCCTAATATAAAATATCAAATAACTTACATCAAGTTGAATAGGTATACAAAACTGGAAATAAGTAAACATGTATAATATATAACCAAATAAATAAACAACATAGAACGTTTATTAGCAAAACGAATGTCAAATAAAATAAATAAATGACACAGTTTAAATAAAGTAAAAATCAGCAAACAATGTGGAACCAATTAAATAAGAAACGAATGTTTAAAAAAACTTCCAAAATCACCTTAGATAAACGGCAAAAGTCAACAGGCTATTCAAAATCCAAAATATTGCCAAACAGGCGCTTTTGCATCTCGTTTCCAAACTAAATCATCTGCGATCGTCTTGTCTGTCTCACCCCACTCTTCTCGTCAGTCAGTTCGACTCACTCTCCTCACTGGATAAATTAAATCTAATCTGTGATGCGACTGTCGTTCGGCACGCTGCATTGAGTAGCCGTGTTCAGTTTTTAATTGTAGTGTCTGTTCTTTTACTGAACTAAAT